GAGGGCTCTGGGGGTGTCCGTGCCCAGGGGGGGCTATGGGATGCTGGGGAGGTGGTCTATAGGGTGTCGGGGGGGGTCTATAGGGTGCCGGGGGGGGTCTATAGGGTGCCGGGGGGGGCTATGGGGCTGGGGGTGCCCTGGGGGGAGCTATGGGATGCCGACAGGCTGGGGGTGCCGGGGGGGGGCTCTCTGGGGTGCTGGGGGTTCTCTGGGGTGCCGGGGGGGGTGACACCCCTCTCGCCCCTCTCTGCAGCCGCTCCCGCCGCCCCGATGTCCCCGATGTCCCCCGTGGCGGGGGGGGCCGCCCCCCGCCTGCTGCTGGCCCTGCTCTGCCTGGCCCCCCCCGCCGCCGCCCCCCCGCCCCCCAGCAGCCCCCCCGGGACTGCCCCGGGCCCTCCCGCGCCCCACAGCGACTCCCCCGTCCTCTCCCTCAACCTCGGCCTCAACTTCAAGATCAAGGTGCGAAGCCAGGGGGGGCCGCGCCCTCCCACGCCCCCGGGGGCCCCCAAGATTCCGGGGTCCCCCCGGACCCCCGCGCCCCCCACCCTGCCCGACCCCGGCGATGAGCAGGGCTCCGCGACCGCCCTGGAAGAAGCGGGGGGCTGGGGGGGCCCCCCTGGCCGGGGGGGTACGACCCCCGCCCCGGGGCGCCCCCGGGACAAGCAGCTGGAGCTGGACATCGCCATCGACCTGACGGCGGGGCTGGACCCCCCCGCGGCGCGGGCCGTGCGCCCCACGAGCCTCCTGGGGGGCCCCCCCGGCCCCCCCCGGCTCCTGCCCGGGCTCTCGGAGCTGGCCGGGAGGCTCAGCGCCGCCGGTGAGTGCCCGCGGCCGGCTGCGCCCCCCCCGCGGCCCCCCCGAGGCTGAGGGACCCCCAATATCTTTGTACCCCCCAGGGTTCCTGTTTCCCACGGTGTCCCCCAAGATCGGCCCCGAGGGGGACAACGGGTCCCTGGAGCTGGAGGAGCCCGCGAGTGGCGACGAGCCAGGTGGGGGGGAAAGGAGGGGCTGGAGACGGGGGGGCCGAGAGCGTGGGGGGGCCTGGGGAGTCCCGGGGGGCTTGGCGGGATGGGGGGGCCCGGCGTTTGGGGCGTCCTGGAGGTTTGGGGGAGATCTGGTGGAACGGGGGGTTCGTGGGGTTTGGGGGTCCTGAGGTTTGGGGGGTCCTGGGGCAATGGGGGGGCCCCGGGGCAAGGGGGGGTCCTGGGCGTTGGGCGGGGCCTGGGGTAAGGGGGGGGCTGAGTTCTGGGGGCATCCTGGGGTTTGGGGGAGTCCTGGGGGGATCGAGGGTGCCCTGCATTTGGGGGGGGGTGGGGAAATAGGAGGTTCCAGGGCAGTGGGAGGGTCCTGGGGTTTGGGGGGAACCTGGGGGAATGGGGGTTCGTGGGATTTGCGGGGCTCGTGGAATTTAGGGGGGCCTGGGCTACTGGGGGGAACCAGGGGAAATGGGAGGGTTCGGGGGGGGGGGCGGTGCTGGGGCACAGAGGGGTCCTGAGGCTCGGGAGGGGGGTTTGGGGCAGCCTGGATGGGTGGGGGGGTCCGGAGGGTTCAGGGGGTCTGGCCACCCCCAAAATCCTCTGTGGGGTGTGGGGGCTGTGTCTGAGCGGCACGGGGAGGCCTGGGGGGGACAGTGGGGGTTCGGAGCACCCCCAGGATATGGACCCCCCACCCTGACCCCTCTCTCCCGCAGCCCTCCCCCGGGGCCGCCAGTCCTCCCGGGGGGCCGCGCCCCCCCCCGCCGCCGCCTCCGCCTGCACCCCCGGATCCGCCTGCGGCTCGGGGGGGCCGGACCCCCAGAGCCCCCCCGCGCCCGCCTTCTCCTGGCCCCCCCACTTCATCCCCCTGGACACCCCCTGGCCCGAGGCCGCCGCGCTCTGGGGCGCGGCCTGGGGGGGGCACGTCTACGGGGCGGGGGCCGCCTTCACCTTACTGGGCTTACTGGGCGTACTGGCTCTGCTGGGGGGGCGCCGGCCCCCCCTGGCGCGGGTCCTGGGGGGTCTCCTGGCGGTGTCGGGGTTCGCCCGCGCCTTCCCCCTGTTCTTCGACCCCTACGAGGTGGGGGGGCGGCTGCCCCCCCCCGCCGCGCGGCTCCTCTTCGAGCTGCCCTACCCGTGCCTGGGCTGGGGGCTGGCGCTCGCCCCCCCCGCCAGGGCCGTGCCCGTGCTGGGGGTCCTGGCGGTGCTGCACCTGGCGGGGGCCCTGGGGGCGGTGGGCGCCGTGGCGGCTCTGGGGGGGCCCCCGGCGCTGCTGCTGCTGCCGCGGGCGCTGTTCGGGGCTCTGGCGGCCGCGCTGGCTCTGGGGGCTCTGGGGGGGCTGCGGCGCTGCGGGGGGGGCCGCGGGAAGCGGGGGGGGGCGCGGACGGGGGTCCCGCGGCCGGTGGGGGCGGCGGGCGCCGCGCTGAGCGCGGGGCTGCAGCTCTTCGGGGCGCTGCAGGTCTGGGGGTGGGGGGTGACCCCCCCCCCGGGGCCCTGGGCCTGGTGGGGACTCCAGCTCGGGGGTCGCCTGGCCGAGATCGCCATGGGGGCGGCGCTGGCGGCCTTGGCGCTCGTGGCCCCCCCGAACCGCCGCGGCACCGCCGGGGACCCCCCGGAGCCCCCCGAGGGCGGCGGGCGGGGGGGGGAGGAGGCGGGAGGACCCCCCGAGTCCCCCTTCGAGTGTGACGGGGACCCCACGGCCGGGTACCGCCCCCCCTCCCCCATCGACCTGCGCCGCTCCATCGACGAGGCCTTGGGAGCGCCGGGAATGTTCCGCGTCGGGAACGGCGGGATCGGGGGCGCCGGGAGCACCGGGAGCACCGGGAACACCGGCGGCAGCGTTATCAGGAGCACCGGGAACGCCGGGAAGGCCAAGAACAACGGGATCAGCATCATCGGCAGCTCTGGGAAAACTGGGAGCAATGGGAGCACCGGGATCAGCGTCATCAGCACCACTGGGAACACCGGGAACACCGGGAACACCGGGAACACCGGCACCAGCACAACAGTGTTACCGGGGGTCGGCACAACCCAGGGCACGGGCACAACTGGGGGAACTGGGATGGGCACAACTGGTGTGACTGGGAGCGGCACGGCTGGAGCACTGGGAACCACCACAGCTGGAACACTGGGAACCAACACTGCTGGAACACCAGGAACCACCACAGCTGGAACACTGGGAACCACCACAGCTGGAACACCAGGAACCAACACAGCTGGAACACCAGGAACCGCCACTGCTGGAACACTGGGAACTGCCACAGCTGGAACACCAGGAACTGCCACAGCTGGAACACTGGGAACCACCACAACTGGAACACCAGGAACTGCCACAGCCGGAACACCAAGAACCGCCAGCACTGGAACACCAGGAATCACTCCTGCTGGAACTGCCGGGACCGGCAGCACCAGCACCGAGGGGGGTGACATAGCCGGCACAGCTGGCACAGCTGGCACAGCCAGTGCACCTGGTACTCATGGCACAGCTGGCACAGCTGGCACAGCGGGCACAGCTGGTGGGACGGAGCTCAGCCCCCCCGGCCCTCTTGGCACAACTGGGGGCAGTGGAACAGCAACACCAGGAACTGGCACCGCCGGCACAGCTGGCACAGCTGGCACAGCTGGGACACCTGGGACACAGGGTCCTGGCACCCCTGGCACAGCGGGTCCCAACACAGCTGGCACAGCCAGCACACAGGGTCTCACCAAACCTGTCACACCTGGCACCCCTGGCACACCTGGCACACCTGGCACTCCTGGCACACCTGGCACACCTGGCACACCTGGCACACCTGGCACCCCTGGCACCCCTGGCACTCCTGGCACACCTGGCACACGGGGTCCTGGCACCCCTGGCACTCCTGGCACACCTGGCACACGGGGTCCTGGCACCCCTGGCACTCCTGGCACAGCGGGTCCCGGCACGGCTGGCACAGCCGGCACACGGGGTCCCGGCACGCGGGGTCCCCCCCCCGCCCCCCGCCCCTCTGCTCTGTCCCGCGCCGCCTCTTTGGGGGGTCCCCCCGCGGGGTCCCCGGGGGTGCGGGGGGGGGCCCGGGGAGGGGGCTCCGGGGGTGCCGGGGACGCCCCCTCCCCCCGGGGACTGACCCGGGGGGACACGACCCCCAGCACCCCCCCGCGGGGACCCCCCGGGGCAGCGCCCCCCCCGCTGCGACCCTCCCAGAGCTGGGCCGAGGGGACCCCCCGGCCCCCCCCCGCCCCCCAGGCCCACGGCGGGGGGGTCCCCGGGCCCCCCGGGGATGGTGACAGCCGCAGCCCGGGCAGTGACACCATAGACTTGTAGGGTGCGGGGGGACCCCCGGGGCGCCCCCCAACACAGCCGGGGGGGCTGTGGAGAGACCCCGGCCCGGCCACCCCGGCCAGGGATCCCCAGGACTCACAAGTCCCTGAGACCCCCAAATAGGGGTGACGACCTCGGGACCCCCAAATTCCTGGGACCCCCAAGTGCTGATGACAATCGGGGGACCCCCAAGATGTCCCCCCAGGTCCCCAAGACCCCCAAATACGGGTAACAAGCTGCCCCCCCCCGTGTCCTTGAGACCCCCCAAGTGCTGGTGCCAATCTGGGGATCAACCACCCCCAAAGATCCTGAGACCCCCAAATACGGGTGACAACCTGGGGACCCCCAAGTCCCTGAGATCCCCCAAGTGCTTGTGACCACATGAGGGCCCCCCCAAGTTCCTGAGACCCCCAAAGAGGGGAGACAAACTGCCCCCCCCAAATACCTGAGACCCCCAAATATGGGTGACAACGTGGGCCCCCCCATGTCCTGGAGACCCCCAAGTGCTGGTGACAATCCGGAGACTCCCCCCCAGCTGCCCCCCAAGCCCCAGAGACCCCCGAGTGCTGGTGACGCCCCCCCAGCACCTGAGACCCCCAAACACAGCCTGGGGACTAAGACCCTCGAGTGGGGGTGACAAACTGCCCCCCCAGTGACCTGGGACCCCCAAAGAGGAGTGACAACCTGAGTCTCCCCGTGTCCTCGACACCCTCAAGCTCTGGTGACAATCTGGAGACCCCCCCCAGGTCCTCGAGACCCCCCCAAACACGGATTACAACGTGGGGACCACCCAGGTCACTGAGACTCCAGGTGCTGGGGGCAACTTGGGCACCCCCAGATGCCCCCGAGGGCCCCAAGCCCCCCAAGGTGCCAATCTGGGGGCCCCCCAGGTTCCTGAGCCCCCCAAATGCAGGTGACAACCTGCCCCCCCCCATGTCCTTGAGACCCCCAAGTGCTGACAATGACCTGGGGACCCCCCCCAGCCTCCCCCCAAGTCCTGGAGACCCCCAAATACGGGTAACAAACTACCCCCCCCCCATGTTCTTGAACCCCCCAAAGTGCTGGTGCCAATCTGGGGACCCCCCAGCTGCCCCCTAAGTCCCCGAGACCCCCAAATAGGGGTGGGAACATGGGGACACCCCCAAGTCCCTGAGCTCCCCAAGTACAGGTGCCAATGTGGGGACCCCCAAGTCCCCGAGCCCCTCAAGTGCTGATGACAATCTGGGGACCCCCCCAGCCCCCACACAAGTCCCTGAGACCCCCCAAATACGGGTAACAAACTGCCCCCCCCCGTTCTTGAGCTCCCAAGTGCTGGTGCCAATCTGGGGATCCCCCCCAGGCATCCCCCAGGTCCCTGAGACCCCCCAATACGGGTAACAAACTGCTCCCCCCCCACCCCTGAGCCCCCCAAATGATGGTGACAATCTGGGGCCCCCCAATATTCCCCGCGGCCCTCCCGGGCCCCCCAGTTCCTCCCCCGTGTACCCAATAAAGTGCCACGTGCGAAGGATGCGTGTGACCCCCCTGAGACCCCCGACCCTCCCGGATGGACCCCTGAGACCCCCCAACCCTGGGGTGGGACCCCCGTGCCCCCCGACCCCCCAGATGGGTGCCCCGAATCCCCCAGTCCCCCCTTCCCGCAGGACGGGCCCGCCGACCCCCCTCTCAGCTCCCATAGGAGGAGACCCTCGAACTCCCAGACCCTGTTATGGGTCCCCCAAGCCCCCCAGGCCCCCCCAGGATGGGACCCCCTGAACTTCCCTCCCGCAGGATGGGACTCCCCAAATCCCACAACCCCCCAGGCCCCTGATATGGGACCCCCGAGCCCTCCTGATCCTCCCGTATGGGATATGACCCTCCAAGCCCCCCGGGAACCCCCAGGCCCCTTAATATGGGACCCCCCAGCCCCCCCCCAGCCCCCCTTAGCCCCACTCGAGTGGGACCCCAACTTCCACCTGACCCCCCTTTCATGGGATCCCCGACCCCCCTTGACTCCCCTCCCGCAGGGTGGGACCACCTGACCCGCCCGTCCCCCTCTGTCCCCCCCGATCCCCCCCTGTCCCCCCCGATCCCCCCCTGTCCCCCCCGTCCCCCCGCTCCCCGTCCCGGGTCCTCCCGCGCTGCAGTTCCCGCTCCCACCGCCGGGGGCCGCTCTGGCCCCGCCCCTCCCGGGGCCGCTCCGCCCCCCGCCCCGCCCCGCCCCCGCCGGGCCAAGATGGCGGCGCCCAGCGCGCGCACGGTGCTGGTGCGGGGCCTGCCCCCGAGCGCCACCGGGCCGCTCCTGGAGAGGCTCTTCGGGGCCCTCGGGCCGCTCCGCCGCTGCTTCGTGGTCACCGAGAAGGGTCCGCGCCGGGGGGGGGCCGGGGGAGGATCGGGGGAGGGGGTGACAGGCGCTGGGAATGGGTTCCGGGGTGGCCGAGGGGTGGGAGGGGAGGTGGGACCGGGGCTCGGGGGGGCCGAGTGGGGCGGGAGGGGATTCCGGGAGCTCGGGGGGGGCCGGGGGTGCGCGGAGCTGGGGGTGGGGGACGCTGCAGGGGGCTGGGAGCGGGTTTTGGGGGGGCTGAAGGGATTGGGGGCGGAAGGGCCGGGAGGGGGTTGAGGGGATTTGGATCGAGAGGGGCTGGGGGGCTTGGGGCCAGGGTTTGGGGTTAGAAGGGGTTAAGGGGGCTGGGACCGGAGTTTGGGGGGTCTGGAGGGATTCAGCCGGGGTCTCGAAGGGCTGGGAATGGGACCCGGGGGGTCTGAGGGGGAGGGATGGGGGGAGGCTGAGACTGGGGTCTGAGGGGTCTGGGGGCGTTGGGAGTGGGGTTCGGGGGGAGGCTGAGTTCTGGGATGCGGGGCCTGGGGGGCCTGGAACCGGGATTTGGAGGGGAGCTGAGTCTGGGGGGGCTGGGCCGTGGCCAGGGCTGGAAACTGGGGGGCTGGGAATTTGTGGGAAGGGGACAGGAGTGGGAAGGGCAGGACTGGGAATTTCAGGGAACAGGCATTTTGGAGGGAGCAGGAATTAGAGGAGACAGAAGTTTGGGAGTTAGGAATTCGAAGGGGCAGGACTTTGGGGGTGCAGGATGGGAGGGTCTCAGGGCTGGTTTTGGGGGTCCAGGCGGGTTTGGGGGGGGGGCTGTGCCGTGCCAGGCTGGGGGGGGACGATCCATGAGGCCGTTTGGGAGGCTCAGCCCCTCATTGCCCCCCCCCGGCCCCCCCAGGCTCCCCGAAATGCCGCGGGTTCGGGTACGTGACCTTCTCGCTGCCCGAGGATGCCGGGAGGGCCCTGCGGGACCCCCCCGAGCTGGGGGGGCGGCCCCTGGGGGTGTCCCTGGCCCGGCCCCGCCCCAAGAGGGACAGGGGGCCGCGGGGGGGGCAGGAGGGAGAGGGCGAGGGGGGGGAGCCCCCCCCAGAGCACCCCCGGCCGAAGAAGCCCCGCCCGCCCTCCCGCAAGGCCCGGCTCATCCTGCGCAACCTCAGCTTCCAGGTGAGGGACCCCCGGGACCCCCAGCACTCACAGGGACCCCCGGGACCCCCCGGGACCCCCAGCACTCACAGGGACCCCCCAGGACCCCCAACACTCACAGGGACCCCCGGGACCCCCAGCACTCACAGGGACCCCCGGGACCCCCAGCACTCACAGGGACCCCCGGGACCCCCAACACTCACAGGGACCCCCCGGGACCCCCAGAGACTGTTGATATACACGGGGACCCCACAGGGACCCCAAACAACCCAGGGACCCACCCCAGTGCCCCCTGACACCCCCAGGGACCCTCCCAGGGACCCCCCCCTTCCACAGAGAAGGGAATGCCCCCAGGCCCCCCAGCACCCCCCAGATGTCCCCCGGGGTCTCCCCAGTGCCCCCTGTTTCCCCAGTGACTCCTTATTCCCCAGGGACCCCCCTCCCCACCATCCCACAGACCCCCCCATGCACCTCCCCAGCCCCCCCCAAGGACCTACGTGCTCCCCAATGCCCCCAGTGCCCCCCAACCCCCTGGGACCCCCCAGATTTGTGATTTCCCTCATGTTTAGGCACTCAGGGGCCCCCAGTCCTCTCAGAGACCCCCCCTGTGTCCCCCAACCTCCCCTGACACCCCCCTTGTGCCCCCCAATCCCTCGTGACCCCCCCGTGTCCCCCCCAGTGCTCCGAGGACGAGCTCCGGGGTCTCTTCGCTCCCTTCGGCCCCGTCCTGGAGCTGAACATGCCCCGGAAACCTGGTGAGACCCCTGGGCTGAGCCCCCCCGGGCCCCCTGACCCCTTTGGGGTGCCCCCCCCGGCCGGGGGGCTCCCCCAGGGGGCTCATGGGCTCACTCTGGGGGGCTCTCACAGACGGGACCCCGAGGGGCTTCGCCTTCGTCCAGCTCAGGAACGTGCGGGAGGCGGCGGCGGCACTGGGGGGGCTCAACGGGGCCCAGCTCAGAGGTGGGGGGCCCAGCTCAGAGGTGGGGGGCTGGGGGGGCTCAACGGGGCCCAGCTCAGAGGTGGGGGGCTGGGGGGGCTCAACGGGGCCCAGCTCAGAGGTGGGGGGCTGGGGAGGGTCCTGGGGGGGCTCAGCGGGAGGGGGATCAGAGCTGGAGGGTTGTGGGGGGTCCCAGGGGGGTTTGAGGGGTGCTGTGGGGGCTCAACAGGACCAACATCAGAGGTGGGGGAGGGAGGGGGATTGGGGGGTGCTGGGGGGGTCCCAGGAGGGGGCTGAACATGAGGGGGGTCAGAGGTTTGGGGGGTCCCCGGAGGGTTGGGGGATGCTGATGGGGTTATGGAAGGGGGGAACGTGGGGTGGGGGTCTCTTGGGGAGTTGGGGACATGGGGGGGTCCCTCAGGAACGGGGGGCACTGACCCCTCCCTCGTGCCCCCCCAGGGCGGCCCCTGGCCGTGGACTGGGCCGTGGCCAAGGACAAGTACCAGGCGACACAGGGACCCCCCAAACCCTCTGGTAAGACCCCAAAAACTCCCAACCCCCCCCTAGACGCCATGGTGAGTCCCCAGGGACCCCCAAACCTTTGGAGGGGACCCTATAACCCCCCCAGGGACCCTCCAAAAACCGTGGTGAGACTCCAACCCTCCCCAAGCCCCCTGGAACCCCCTCAAACTCCCCGGATGAGACCCCCAGACCCTTGGTGAGGGACCCCCCAGTCACCCCCAAACCTCTGGTGAGGGGCCTCCAGGGACCCCCAAATGCCCCCAAACCCCAGTGAGGGACCCTGAAACCCCCCAAAACCCTGGGGAAGGACCCCCAAGCCCCTCAAACCCCCCAGACCTGCGGTGGGGGGTCCCCGAAGCCCTGGTGAGGGACCCCAATTCCCCCCCCCCAGCCCCTGGGGAGGGTCCAGGTGCCCCTCTGGAGATTTTTGGAGGGGCAAAAGGGAGTGAGGGCGTGACTGTCCCCCCACCCCACCCCATGTGGCCTTGTAGGGGGGGGAGAGGAGGAGAAGGAGGAAGAAAAAGAAAAAGACGAGGTGAAAGAGGAAGATGAAGAAGAAGAAGAAGAAGAGGAGGAGGAAGAGGAAGAAGAAGCTGAGGAGGAAGAAGAGAGCGAGGAAGAAGAGGAGGAGAAAGAGGATGAAGAAGATGAAGAAGATGATGAAGATGAAGAGGATGATGAAGAGGATGAGGAGGGTTTGTTCTGCCCTGGCAAGGGGAGCTTGGCTGGGACTGGGGGGGCTCTGCCAGGGTCAGGGGAGGCTTCCTGGGGCTCTGGGGGGGCTTCTGGGGGGGCCAAGGGGGAGTTTTGGGGGGCTTCTGGGGTAGCTTATGGGGGCACTGGGGGAGCATCCGGGGGTCTGTGGGTTTTTGTGGGGGGGATCTGAGTGGGCTTCTCTGGGGTCTGGGGGGGCTTCTGGGATTCTTGGGGGTCTCCTGGGGGTGGGGGGAGGGTTTGGGGGTGCCTGGGGGAGTTTCTGTGGGATGTGGGGAAGCTTCCTGGGGACTGGGGTGACTTCTGTGGAGAGGGGGTCTTTCCTGGGGGGTGGGGGCTCCTGGGGGGTTCCCAGGTGTCCCAACGCCCCCAACATTGCAGAGGGGGGATCCCCCCCAAAGCGGGCGAAGGGGGGGCGGCCGCGCCCCTCGGACGTGGGCGAGGGCAGGACCGTCTTCATCCGGTGAGTGGGGGCCCCCCAAAACCGAGGGGGGCTCTGGGAGGGGGGGGAGCACCCCCAGGACCCCCCTGACCCCCCCGTGCCCCCAGGAACCTGTCGTTCGACACGGAGGAGGAGGCGCTGGAGGAGGCCCTGCAGAGGTTCGGGGGGGTCACCTACGTCCGGCTGGTGCTGCACCCCCACACCGGCACCCCCAAAGGTGGGGGCAGGGGGGCCCGGCGGGGTCTTGGGGGTGTCCTGGGGGGGGCACCTGCCGCTGCCCCCCAAACCCCAGTGCCCCAGGGGAGGGCTGGGCAGGGGAGGGGGCTGGGGGGCACCGGGACCCGGCAGAGCCGGGCTTGGCCTGGCTCGTACCCTGGGGGGGTGCTCGCGTTTTTGGGGGGGGGGGGGTTAACATGCCACGTTTGGGGGGTGATTCCCACACGGGAGGAGTTTCCCCACGTGTTGGGAGGGCTCCCCCTGTGCCCCCCTCACTGCCAGCCCCCTCCTCCCCCCAGGCTCTGCCTTTGCCCAGTTCGAGACCCCCGAAGGGGCCCAGAAGTGCCTCGAGGCTGCACAGGAGGGGCCCGAGGTGAGTGGGGACCCTCCACTGGGGGGGTGTCCCCCCACTGGGGACACCAGAGACCCGCTGGGGAGGGGGGGGCACACCAGGGACCCCTCAGGGGCCCACCCCGGGGGCACCCAGGGTCCTCCAGGGGGGCTCAGGAGCAGCTCTGGGCTGGGTTTGGGTGTTTTTGGGGCCCCCCTGGCTGGGTTTGGGGGGTTTAGGGGGGTTTGGGGGCCTGTCCTGGGTTTGGGGTGTTTAGGGGGGTTTGGGGGCCTGTCCTGGGTTTGGGGGGTTTAGGGGGGGGTTTGGGGGCCTGTCCTGGGTTTGGGGTGTTTAGGGGGGGGTTTGGAGGCCTGTCCTGGGTTTGGGGTGTTTAGGGGCATTTGGGGGCCTGTCCTGGGTTTGGGGTGTTTCTAGAGGTTTTGACCCCTCTCCTGGCTGGGTTTGGGGGGGTTTGGAGCCCCCACAGCTGGATTTTAGAAGGGTTTGGGGGGGTTGGGGGCTGGGATTTTGGGGGTGTTGAGGTCCCCCCCAGCTGGGGTTCGAGGGTGTTTGGGGCCTGCCCAGCCCGGGGTTCTCCCGTGTGGCACAGGAGGGTCCCGGCCCCCCCTGAGCCCCCGTTGTGCCCCCCAGGGTGGGGGGCTGCGTCTGGACGGGCGGGTGCTGCGTGTGGACCCCGCCCTGAGCCGGGACCAGGCCCAGCAGCTCCGGGGGGAGTCGGGGGGGGGCCAGCCCAGAACTGGCACCAGGAACCTCTACCTGGCCCGGGAGGGGGGTGAGTGATGGGCTGGGGGGGCTCAGGTGCCACAGTGCCCCCCACTCCCCTTCCTGACCCCCCCGAATCCCCCCACGCCCATTTTTTCCCGATCCCCTGAATCCTCCCCAGCCCCCAAGTGCCCCAATCACCCCCAAGTGCCCCAATCACCCCCAAATGCCCCAATCACCCCCAAATGCCCCCTGACTCCCCACCTGCCCCCCCAGCCACCCACCAGGGCTCTCCCTCTCCCTCCCAAAACTCCTCCAAGCCCCCGTTTAACCCCAGATGCCCAGACCTGCCCTCCTCCCCACCAACCACCCTCCCGGGCTCCCCCCATCCCCCTGACCCCCCCCCCCCCAAGTCCCCCAGATCTCCCCTGACCCCCCAACATCATCCCCCCCTCGCTCTGCCTCAACCCCCCCCCCACTGCCCCCGAGACCCCCTGATGCCCCCCCATTTGCCCCACCCCAGCCTTCCCCTCTCTCGCTGCTCCCAGTTCCCCCCCGTCCCCCCTGCCCCCCCCAGTCCCCCCATGCCCCCCAGGCTCCCCAGATCCCCCCTGACCCCCGTTTGCCCCCAGCCATCCGCCCGGGCTCGCAGGCGGCCCAGGGGGTCAGTGAGGCCGACATGGCCAAGAGGGCACGGGTGAGTGGGGTGGGACCCGGGGGGAGTGGGGTGGGACCCCGGGGGGGGAGTGGGGTGGGACCCCGGGGGGGAGTGACCCTGGGTGGGAGTGGGGTGGGACCCCGGGGGAGAGGGGGGTGGGGTGGGACCCTGGGGGGGAGAGGGACCCCGGGGGGGGAGTGGGACCCCGAGAGGATAAGTGTGACCCTGAGGTGTGAGTGTGACCCTGGGGGGGGAGAGGGACCCTGGGGGGTGAGTGGGACCCCCGGGGGGTGAATGGGACCCCTGGGGGGTGAGTGGGACCCTGTGAGGGGTGAGTGTGACCCTGGGGGGTGAGTGGGACCCCGAGAGGATGAGTGTGACTCTGGGGGGTGAGTGGGACCCCGAGAGGATGAGTGTGACTCTGGGGGGTGAGTGGGACCCCGAAGGATGAGTGTGACTCTGGGGGGTGAGTGGGACCCTGGGAGGGGTGAGTGTGACCCTGGGTGGTGAGTGAACCCCTGTGGGGGTGAGTGTGACTCCGGGGGGTGAGTGGGACCCTGAGGAGGTGAGGAAGACCCTGAGGAGATGAGTTAGACCCTGAGGCTGCGTGAGACCCTTAGGAGGGCGTGTTCACCGAATGATGAGTGGGACCCTGGGGTGTGAGTGGGGCCCCCGAAGAGGATGAGTGTGACCACTGTGGGGTGGAGTGGGACCCCTGTGGGTGATGTGACCGCTGTGGGTGAGTGGGACCCAGTGGCTTGGGGTGATGGCACCGAGAGGATGAGTGGGACCCTGGGGGGGAGTGGGCCCCCGAGAGGCTGAGTGTGACTCTGAGGAGTGAGTGGGCCCCCGAGAGGATGAGTGGGACCCTGGGGGGTGAGTGGGCCCCCGAGAGGCTGAGTGTGACCCCCGGGGGGGCGGGGGGGTGAGTTGAGGGGCGTGTGTCCCCCCCTGACCCCCTGCCCCCCAGTTCGAGGAGCTGAAGCGGCGGCGGCTGCAGGACCCCAACGTGGGGGTGTCCCGGACCCGGCTGTGCCTGCACAACCTGCCCAAGGCCCTGGACACCCCCCGGCTGAGGGCCCTGCTCCGGGGGGTCCTGCGCCACAACGGGGGGGCCCCCCCACACATCAAGGAGGTGGGGGGGCCCCGGGTCCCTCCTGTGTCCCCCCCGCCCCTCTGCACCTTCTCCTGTGTTCTTCCCTCTCGGGTTTGGGGGTCTCCCAGGGTGGGTTTGGGGTGTGGAGGAGGTGGGGGGTCCCCTGTGTCCCCTGTGCCCCCCCTGTGCCCCCCCTGTGTCCCCTCGGGTTGGCTGCGGGTGTGGGGGAGGTGGGGGTCCCCTTTTGTGTTCTCCTCTGGGGGGATTTTAGGGGTGCAGAGGTGGGGGGCTGGTGTCCCCCCAGGGGTGGGGGATGTTGGGGTGCCCTTGGGGATGTCGGGGTTCTCCAGGGGAGTGTCAGGGGTTTTGGGGTGACTCCATACCCACCGTGCCAGTGCTGGGTGATGTGGGAGCTGGGAGGGGGTGTTGGGGTGACCTGGGGGGTTTTGGGGTGACTGTGTACCCCCCATACTCTCATTCTAGTGCCAGGTGATATAGGGGGTGTCAGGGTGTCCCAGGGGGTTTTGGGGTGACCGTGTACCCCCCGTACCCCATTTCCCAGTGCCCCATTCCCCCAGTTGATGTGGGAACTGCAGGGGGTGTTGGGGTGTCCCAGGGCGTGCTGGGGTGACCCCGGGGAGTTTTGGGGTGACCCTGTCCCCTCCCCCAGTGCCGAGTGATGCGGGAGCTGCGGGGTCAGGGCCAGTCCCTGGGCTTTGCCTTCGTGGAGTTCGAGGCACACGAGGAGGCTCTGGGGGCCCTGCGGCGCCTCAACAACAACCCCGAGCTCTTCGGGCCCCACAAGGTCAGTGGGGGGTCCCCCCTTTGTGTCCCCCCCTTGGTGGGTGCCCCGTTTCCAGCACCCAGGGCTGCCCCTCGACTGGGACCCTCCCAGAGCTGCCCTGGAGTTGCGGGGTGCCCCCAGGATTTCCTGATACCACCCAGGGGTTTTAGGCTGTCCCCGAGGTGCTGGGGTGCCCCTGGATGTAGTGGGGGCCACCCTGGCTGTTTCTGTGTTCCTCCTGGGTTTTGGGGTGTCCCTGGGGATTTCAGGGTGCCCCTATTGTTCTGGGGTGCCCCCCTCGGGTCTTGGGTGTTTAAGGTTCTTCTGGGTTGCCCCCAGTGCTCCAGGAGGGGGTTCTGGGGTCTCCCCCCTGGGTTATGGGGCCCCCCTGGACTTTGGGGTGCCCCCACCGTGGTGGGGTGCCCAGGGTGTTCCAGATTTCCCTGGGGTTCTGGATAAGCTTTGGGGTCTCTCCCTGTGTTTCAGGGTGCTCTCACAGTGGTTTGGGGGAAGTTCTGTGGTGTCCTCCCAGTTTCTGGGCTCTGCTCCACTTTTGGGGTGTCCCTTGGTGTTTGGGGGGGTTCCTGGGTGCCCCCGTTGTTTGGGGGGGTTCCTGGGTGCTCCCCGTTGTTTGGGGGGGTTCCTGGGTGCTCCCATTGTTTGGGGGGGGTTCCTGGGTGCTCCCTGTTGTTTGGGGGGGTTCCTGGGTGCTCCCCGTTGTTTGGGGGGGTTCCTGGGTGCTCCCATTGTTTGGGGGGGGTTCCTGGGTGCTCCCATTGTTTGGGGGGGGTTCCTGGGTGCTCCCCTTGTTCCGGGGTGCCCCCCCCGGTCTCAGGGTGCCCCCCGTGCCCCCCCAGCGCCCCATCGTGGAGTTTGCCCTGGAGGACCGGCGGAAGCTGCGGCTGCGGGAGCAGCGGATCCAGCGCGGGCTGGTACGGGGGGGGCACCCCCTGACACCCCCTGAGCCCCCCGGGGCCCCCCCAGCCCGGGGCCCCCCCAGCCCGGGGCCCCCCAGCACTGACCCCCTGCCCTCCCCAGCTCAAGGCCAAGGCGAAGGCGGCCGAGGCTGCGAGACCCCCGGAGACCCCCCAGGGCCCCCTGGATCACCCCGAGGGCTCGGGTGGGCAGGACCCCCCCAGCAAGGCCCCCCCCGCCAAGGCCCCCCCGGGCCCCCCCGGGACCCCCTGGGCCGGGTTCTGCACGCAGGGCCCGGGGGGGCGGGGGGCACCCGGGACCCCCCGCAACAGGGTGCTGGCAGTGCCCTCGCACCGGGGGCCCAAGATCAGGTGAGGAGGAGCCCCCCCATTTTTCTCCCCCCCAATCCTTTCCCTCCGCCCCTTTGCACCCGTTTTCCCCCCCTTTTTTCCCACCCTTTCCCCCCCCCGTTTTTACCCCTTTATTTCCCTGTTTTCCCCCTCTTTCCCCCCCCCCAAGACCCCCTCCCACGGGGTTTCTTCTCCTCAGGGGCTCCCCCCAGCTCAGTGCCTTCCCTTTCTGCCCCCAGGAAACGGGACAAGGGGAAGGCACAGCCCCCTCCCCCCAAACCCCCCAAGGCCCCCAAGGCCCCTCGGCGGCGGGAGAAGCGCCAGGAGACCCCTCCCCAGGTAAGAGTTTGCAGCTCACCCCCCCCAGGAGACCCCTCCCCAGGTAAGAGTTTGCAGCTCACCCCCCCCCCAGGAGACCCCTCCCCAGGTAAGAGTTTGCAGCTCACCCTCCCCCCGAGGTGATTTTGGGGTCCCCGCCGTGGTCTCCTCCCAGCTCTGGCTCTGCCTGGGTGGGGTCTGGGGGGGTTTTGGGGTGTCAGGGCCCCCCCCCTCACCCCTCTCTCCCCCCAGAAGCAGCGGCGGCGCCGGGGGGGTCCCGGGGGGTCCGAGGCAAAGTTCAACGAGCTGGTGGAGAGGTACAAGAGGAAGATTTTGGGGAGCCAGCCCCCCACGGCCCGAGGGGGAAAGTGGTTCGAGAGCTGAGATTCCCCCAGCACCCCAAACTCCCCCCCCAGCACCCCAAACTCCCCCCGGGGGTGCTGGAAAGGTCACAGGCCCCACACCCCCCGCTGTGGGGGGTTTGGGGTCCCTGCTGGGGGGTGGGACCCAACCTTGCCCCCCCCCAGGGTTTGGTGGTGCCCCCCCCATCCTCACTGTCTGTTCCTGGGTTTTAATAAAAAAGTGTATTTTGTGGACGATTTGTGCCCTCAGTGTGACCCCCAACCCCTGGGACCCCCCTGGCACCAAAACCGCCCTGAACCCCCTCCCCTGGGCACCCCAAGACCTCACCCCTGGTCCCCAACCCCCCACCTCTGGCCCGGGGGGGCACCCCGAACCCCCCGTTCCCCCTCATGCCCCCCCAGCTCGGGGTGCTGGGGGTGCAGCCCCCTGGGTGGGGGGTGAGGGGCAGGGGTGGGGCTGGGGTGGCCCCCAGGGCAGGGGGGGCTGGAGGGGCTTCAGCGAGGGGGGTGGGGGAGACGCCCCGGGGGGGTTTTGCGGGCTCAGGGCGTCCTGTGTGTTTGGGGGTCCCACGGGCTGGGGGGTTCCGGGTGGTTGGGGGTCCCGTGGGTCAGCCCGGCCCCCCCATCCCCACATTCCGGTGCCCCCCCCTTGACCCCCCCGTGCTGCCCGGCACAGCCGCGGGCCGGTGAGTCACTCCCGGCGGGGCCGTGGCTGGTGGCCACGAGCCTCCGGTGGCCCCGCGGCGTGAGGGACGTGAGCCCGGGGGTGGCACCGACCCACGGCCACCCACGGTCACCCCCCGGGGTGCCCCTGCCCTGGGGCTGGGGGAGGCACTGGGGGGGCTCGGGGGGGGACAGGGGGCAGGGCTGGGGCCAGGCCAGCGCTGCAGGGGAACCCTGGGGAGGGGGACACCCGGTGCCACCCCTGGGGAGGGGGACACCCCGTACCACCCCTGGGGAGGGGGACACCCCGTACCACCCCTGGGGAGGGGGACACCCCGTGCCATCCCTGGGGAGGGGGACACCCCGTACCACCCCTGGGGAGGGGGACACCCCGTGCCATCCCTGGGGAGGGGGACACCCCGTGCCACCCCTGGGGAGGGGGACACCCGGTGCCATCCCTGGGGAGGGGGACACGCAGTGCCACCCCTGTGCAAACGTGTGTGACCCTCCAGGGGGGCAGGGAGGGGCCTCTGGGTGCCATTCCTGACCCCCATCCTTATCCCCCCCTTGACCCCCTGTTCTTTTCCCCCTCATTCCTGTGTCCCCCCCCCCGTGCTCCCTCATTCCTCCTTCCTTCCCCCCTCCTGTCCCCTCCTCCTCGTGTCCCCCCTCGCCCCTCCTACTCCCCCTCCTTGTTCCCCCCTTTCTCCTCCTCCTTATTCCTCCCTTCTTGTCCCCCTCCCTGTCCCCCTTCCCCGGGTGGGGACCCCCAGCCCCCCCTCCGTGTGTCCCCGTGTCCCCCCGGGCCGGAGGTGTTTGGGTCACACCAGGCCGGGGGGTCCGGGGGGGCCACAAAGCCACGACCGACTCATCAACCACCTCTGAGTCACCAGGGCCGTGTCCCCACGTCACCCCCTGTCCCCCCCGGCTCCTGGAGGGGTCTTGGGCCCCACAGTCCCGTGTCCCCGTGTGCCCCGGTGTCCTGAGGGGTCCTTTGTCCCTGATGGGTGTCCCGAGGGTCCCTTGTCCCCGTGTGCCCCCCTGACACGGAGGGTCCCGGTTCCGGGGGGAGGTCCCTTCTCCCAGGGGTCCCCTGTCCCAGGGTTGTCCCCGGGCTGTCCCTTGACCACTTGGTCCTGGGGCCCCTTGTCCCCCGTGTTCCCGTGTCCCTTGGGGTCCCCTTGTCCCCTCGGGTCCCCTGACCCCATATCCTTTATGTCCCTTGTCCTGGGGTCCCGTGTCTCCTGTGTCCCCCCGTGTTACTGGGGTCCCTTGTTCCTCGGGTGTCCCCCATCCCCCGTGCTCCCTTGTCCCCCACATGTCCCCGTGGCCCTGGAGCTCCCTTGTCCCGAGGGTCCCTTGGCCCCAGGGTCAGTAGACATAAGTGAGGCTGCTGGAAAAGGGGCTTTATTTTAAATTAAAGTCAATAAATAAAAATACTTAATAACAAACAATAATAATAATAATAATAATAGTAATGATGTAGAAAAAGAGGCAGTGGCAGCAGCTGGAGTCGCTCCAGTGCCTGGGGACAGTTGTGGGGTCCCCCATGGGGGTCCCGTGTGATCTGGGGGGGGCCCCAGGGGGGTCCTGCTGAGGTCCCGATTGTGTCCGTGCGGTCCTGGGGATCCCTGAGGGGGTCCATGGGATCCTGGGGGGGTCAGTGGGATGGGTCGTGGTGGGACCTGGGGGGTCCTTGTGGTGTTTCCGTGGGGTCCTGGTTGTGTCCGTGGGGTCCTGCTGAGGCTGGGGGGGTCTGTGGGGTCCCAGGAGCCCTTGTGGGGGTCCCGCTGGGGTCCTGGTGAGGTCCCGGTCACGTCCATGGGGTGTTGGGGTGGTCCTGGGGGTCCCGGTGGGGTCCGGGGGTCCCTAACAGACGGGGTCCCCCTCGAGGTGGGCAGCGATCCCCTCCAGGCACCCCCGGAGCCGCGCCAGGGCCACCCCGGTCACGGTGTGGGGAGCCTCGGCCAGCGGGGCCGGGGGGGCCGGGGGGGGGTCGCGGGGCGGGGGGCAGCCCAGCAGGGCCCCCAGGACCCCCAGGAGGCTGTGCAGGTTCTCCAGGTCGTTGGCCACCTGTGCCAGGCGCAGGTCACCCCCGGGCACCGCCCCCAGGAGCCGCTGGAACAGCTGGAGCCGCTGGGCTGCCACCCCCAGCCCCGCCGGGACCCCCCCGTCCGGGAACCCCCCCTCCGGGACCCCCTCCAGGCCGGTGACACGCAGGGTCAGGGGGAACAGCTGGGGGGGCACAAAGGGGGGTGTTAGGGCAGGGGCTGGGGAGGGGACATGGGGGTCGGGGTGGGGGCTGGGGGCGGCACAAAGGGGGGGTCAAGGTGGGGGGCTGGGGGGGGACACAGCAGGGGGAGGTTGGGGCAGGGGTTACCCCACCTGCTCGGGGGGACCCCACACCCACCCGGCCATGGGGACCCTCCCTGGGGACCCCCAATTTGGGACACAGAGCCCTCCCCCCCTCAGCTGTGGGTGTCCCTCCCCTTGGGGATCCCACATCCCTTGGGTACAGACCCCCCGTCCCAGGGACCCTCAGCCCTTGGGGCACAGCCCCCCCCCCCCATTGCTCCCTGGGCTCAAAGCCCCCCAACCCCCCCAGCCACGGGCACCTCACCCTGAGACCCCGCACCTTGGGGACCCCCAGTCTGGGGCACAGGGGCCCCCCATGAGAGACCCTCCCGCCCACTCTGGGGCACGGCCACCCCCTGCACTGCCGGTGCCCCCCGAGCACCCCCTGGCACAGACCCCACCGCTCCCCCGGCCCCGGCCCCCGGGTGCCCCCCCAAACCACCCCCAGCCTCCTTTGAGTCCCCCCCGGGGGTCCCCCCTCACCCCCCGGCCCGGGGGGCACCTGCAGCTGCTGGAGGCGGGTGCTGAGGGTCCGGATGAGGGTCCGGGCGTCCCCGCGGACCCTCTCGAGCCGCACGGGGCGCCCCCCGGCCACGGCCACCCCCAGGCACAGGAGCCCCCACAGGGACACGCCGGGACACCGCATCCCGCCGGGATCTGGGGAGGGGGCACAGGTCACCGGGGGCGTCCTGCGCCCCGGGCCATCCCGGGGACACGG